GCGCTGCACGGCGATCGGTGGAACTCAGGGGATAGCCAAGACATCGACATACGGCCGGCCCAGCACCCTCTCCTTTCCTCGTCCTCTCTTGCTCCTATACAGCTCCCGTGTGCTCCTCCGCCATCAGCGTTACTGCAAATAGGCCAGAGGAGGCTTGCTTGCAGTACATATAGTGTAAATAGCTACTTCGCCATCAGCGCCCCTAGTGGCAAGCTTGCGTACTACACACAACGAGCGGGGTGCAGACGGGTGCGGGTGGCCGGGCCAGCTGGGCATCGTTCGGTTCTTGTCCCTTGTTCTTCCACCGCGATTAGCGTGGTGGTTGTTGTATATTTTATTTGAATTCAGATGCTTGGATGTTCGGTAGGAACATGTCAGAATAGGACGTAATGGCATCGGAACATAGGCCTAGTGACCTTTTACTGCTGATATTCGCATTATAGAGACAACCTGAGAAATGGCTAGAACAAACTATTATGAGCTTTTCTAACGCGAATCGTTTTCTGAAGCAGTCGGTCAGTCACAAGCGTTTTGCTTTCGCCTAAATACTTGCAGGCTGTTTATGGCGCAGATTTGGCTACCCAAGCAGGCAGCCAGGCGCGGTTTGATTAAAATGCGCCGTCCGCCGAGGTGGCTCTTCTTTTCAGTCCGTCCTAAACCCAGTTCCGCTCTATTCTCCTCCTCTCCCCCATCATTTTCCACCCTGACCTGCCCCACCCTTCCACCTCCTGCCCTTCCCCTTCCTCAAACCCGTTCACGCTGGCTTTGCAGTCCTCTATCCGCAAAGTTCTCGCCTCTCTGGTTGGCTGGCAAGATACCATCGCCCGCGGGAATGAGCTCGTTAGTTTGGCGTGGCGTGGTGTGGCGGGGCGGGGCGGCGGGTGCCGAGTACCCTTGCATTACTTCCAGGCTGCAGCGCTACGGGGTCATCAGCTCGGACGCAGCGCCGCGGTGCCACCAGGAATGGAATTAGGACCAAGCGGCGGTGTTCCGGCTCGTTTTATTGTTGTTAACGTTTCCTCTGCCATTCTCATTCGTTAAAGTCCGGGTTATTCAGGTTGGAGTTGGAAAAGGGTGGGGG